TTCTGACCTTCCTGCTAAGTTCTTGGCTTTACATCTGTATTCTCCTGCATCCTTGTATGAAATCCCTGTCAAGCTTATTATGGACCATCTGACACCCTCTCCAGGTGTTTCTTGAATTACTACAGGAAAATGCAAACAGTAAAACATTATAAAAGGGAGCTAAAGAGAAAGTAAACATTATTAGCCTACTTCTTCCCTTAAGTTATTTCTGCCAGAAGGAATCACATGTATTAAACTTTAAAAAAAAAAAAAAAAAAAAAAAAAACCAACCCAAAACCCAAACAAACCCAAACCAAACCCCACACACAAACTATGGAACTCCCTGCCATATTACATTACTGCAGAAAAGTGCTCAGCTTGGGTCAAAATGGAACTGAATGTCTGGACGAATTACAATATACTTTGCAGTTTCACTAAGTAAAACAAAACTACATAAAAAGAAATCAAATGTCTTAAAGCTGCTATGTGAAGAGGAAATACAAGTCTCACAGACTTCAAGTGACACTGAACACACTAGCCATTTAAAACATTTTTGGAAATTACCTTTGTCTTAAGATATTTCAGTACTTTGGGCTATTACCTTCTTCAGACCTACAATTTAAGATAACTGCTAACTACTTGGCATTAGCAAGAAATATTTTTTATGTTTAAGTTCCTGCATAAATATCTATCATAGCAGCTAGAGTGATATCAGACAATCACAGCCTCTTTAGCATTCAAGATGGGTGTTGCAAATAAACAATAAGCATTTGCAAATAACATAGAAAACATGATTTTGGAAAATCCTATGTTTGGAGTGCTGAGTTTGAAGTGGCTCAGTTATGGGCTCGCTAGCTTTTTTAACATGAACGCTTTGAACCAAAACAGAGATTCCAGTAATGAATTCTCCTTTCTGTTTTTCAGCTTCTGAGTTAGGGCCCACCTATCCCAACGTCCATTTTCCTTTATCCTTCCCCCGCTTCATCCATTTCCCCCCTCCACGCACATTGTTCGTATTACAGACCACATCCAGAATCAGAAGTCTGTTGGACCTGTTCAGACCAAGACTTAGACAAAGAATTTCGTAACAGCTGTTGCACAAATACAATTGCCAGCTTGGTGCGATACCTGGTCCATTGTTACTCATTATAATGATCTCAAAGGACAAGAAACCCAACAATTTCAGGCTCTCCCATTTCCTATAAAAGAGCAATTATACCTGTATAGTTCACTGGTATATTGTCTGACCTAGTCCAAGTAAGCTGTGGTGTTGGGTACCCAGTTGCATCGCAGCGTAGCAGAACGTTGCTTCCCAGCGGGGAAGTGATTTTTGTTGCCGACGTCATCACAGATGGTTTAAGACACTGCTCTAACTCAGCTCTCTGGAACAAGACTCCTGCCAGGCTCTCAGGTCCACTACATGAAACCAATGGATCAAGAAGTACAACTGAGTTGTCCACAATTTTGGAAAATTCGATTAGCTTTGAAATGCGACAGTCACAAAACCATGGGTTGTCCTGCAAACCTGAAGGAGGGAGGGAAGACGGGAAGGAAAAAAAAAAAAAAAAATAATGTTGTCAGGCAATATGTGGATATTGTGATTACAGTATGACACATGACTACCACAAAGTACAATCAAGGAGAACTGTGGACCTATAATGAGTTAATCTTTTCTCTTTCAATTTGTCTTTTTTGTTCAGCTGATCGGTGGAAGAGTTTTTGCAGAGGTGGGGAAGAACAGTATGAATGTTTATTAAGCTAAACTTTTTCTTCACAAAAGTTTACAGAAGCATAGTAATATACTGGCACTACCTTTGCTTAACTTTGCTATTTATCTAGGAAGAAACACTTTGAAAAGACATCTTAAGACTGATGATACATTTTCACCTGCCTCTGCCTTCTGGAAAGATAGCTTCTCAGGGCTATTGCATCCTGTCACTCTCCTCTGCTCTTAGTCCTTTGGGCATTTACAGTTTGATCTTCTCAGACCCTTTTTTCAATGCTTGCAGAAAACATGATGATTTAAGCGTTTAGAGCTTACACCAACATCTCTGCTCCTTGAGAAAAGGAAAAAGGCTAAGGAGACAAAGCTTTAGGCCAAGAAAATTCTTATCCAGCTCTGGACTATACCAATATTCTTAGAAATCTGGCTTCAATTTAGGACAACCTCTGAAATATGTTCAAAAAGAATAGCAGAAGAGTAGAAAATGGGAAGGACCCTGAAAAAAGCTGATGACTACAATATTTTTGTGATGGCACACAAGAACACTATCTTTCCTCTTCTGTTAGAGGCTATAACATTTGCTTCTTAATTCCAAAGTCTTTGAATGAGAGGCTTCTCCCTCTTGGTGAACGTATTATGGTGAAAGAGAGTAGCCATTTCTGAGGAATATAAGACTAAATCCTCAGCTGGTGGTGTTTACTCCACTATGTTGACCTTCATAGAGCAACAGAAGCTTCACCACGTAAAACACCACACAACATATCACTCATGATTTCAAATATTTTCTCATTTGACTTATACTTTTGGGCATACCTTTTTCTTTTTTTTTTGAGTATTAACAATAAACAGAACTTACAGTCTGAAATGAGGGATGGTATGCAAGAACCCCTCACTACTGAATTTACTGATTAGTGCAACAGACAAGCAATATTAATTAAACCAAAATTAAAAGAAAAAAAACCCTGAAACACCTGCTAATATTGTTCAGTGTGTATTTTTAGGAATTATCAAAATAACTAATGGAAAAATTCTGCTTTTTGTTCTGGAAGAAACCTGTAGATCAAAGAATACATGAATAATTAACTACTGCTTCCTTTTATCGCCTGACCAAGATTAGGTATTTTAAGCACAATGGCAGTGATTGGTTAAAACTGTGGTAAACCCCAATTAATCCCCGCTCTTTAAAACAAGACTTGACCTGAAGAGATTCCATGACTTTGACATCACAATCCAATTTCACCCCTTCCAGACATAAGAGATTTTACTTCTATTCACTACTTATTGCCAGTTGGAATGGAGAAGGAGAAATCAAGGAAAATGTATCAGCAACTGCTTTTCTTTAAAAAAAAAAAGAAAAAAGAAAAAAATAATCTCCAAAATGTAAGAACTTTTCATGTGACCTTCACACATATATTCACAAGCAAAAGAGATACCATCCAAATGCTTTCCATACATCTAAGCACAACTGTTTGTGCCTATAAAAATTCTGCCCAATCAAGCACATGTATGTAACTATTTGTGCTCATCTTTTAAATTAGGCAAGCTTCAGTTTGTACTTAGAGAGAGTTAGAGACAATATTCCAGTAACTTTTTTTTTTCATTCTCGCTTGCTTATAAGGGGTCAATTTTCCTCACTACATTAAGAAAGAGACTATGTGAGCATTTGAAAATTAAATTCCCCTAAGGTATAAGAGGGAAGACAGGATCCCCTTGAAACAAGGCCTCAACTGCCAGAGTTCCTCCATAACAAATGCTGCTAAAATGCGTATGAACTCCCAGCATGGTCTCTGTGCTGTCTAGAGGACAGAAGCATGGGGCAGCTGTGCTACAAGCAGGCAGCAGGACAGGAACTCGAGTCCATAGCGTTACTCAGGACAGATCTGCAGCATCAGTAGGGCTCCCACCCCACATACCAGGCAGCAGGTTCTCCCTTACATTGAATGCTACTGAAAGTACTTCTTCTGCGACCTTTCTGCATCCTACAAGCTTTATTGCAGGAAACTGTGTGTTTTATTATTGTTTCTAATACTACTAGCAGTGCTTACAAGCCTTTCAAATAGAATCATACAATCATTTAGGTGGGAAAAGACCTTTAAGATCATTGAGTCCAACTGTAAACCTAACACTGCCAAGTCCACCACTAAACCATGTCCCTAAGCACCACATCTACACATCTTTTAAATACCTCCAGGGATGGGGACTCAACCACTTCTCTGGACAGCCTGTTCCAGTGCCTGACCACCCTTTCAGTGAAGAAATTCTTCTTAATATATATAAATACACGGCTTTCATATTCTCCTAGTGTCCCAAAGAAGACCCAAAGTTGTTACAGTAAGTATCAGAAATTGGCAAAATAGAAGGAAAGATGAAGCAAAGATGGGATAGTCCTCAGATTGGATGGTTGTTTACTCCAGTCTGGGACACAGGTTTGACCATCTCAGACCATTCTGAAGGCCTGGTTTTAGCTTCAGGAGAAAGCTGTAGTCCCAGAAGACTCTGCACTTCTGTGCTTTAGTGCAAAGAAAGAGTTATTTCAGTTAGTCACCTCATGTCCCCCATCCATCATGCTTCCCAGTGGAACTGGCTAAAGAAGCAGGACTTACATATAATATACACAGCTACAGGAGTTCCTTCCTTGCCTCCACGGCTCATCCCTTCTATTTATCTGTGTCTTGCCAATATCTGACAATATTCACATTATTTTTAGTAAACTTGCACAGCCATTGTAAGTCATCAAGTCATGTGAATTCCCAAAATGAAAAGATGAAAGCCCTATTGAGTTGGAAGCAAGGATAAAACACTGAATTTGATTATACTTCAGTTAGCTATTAAAGAGAACAGAAATGGGAATGTAAACCTCGTTTCTGAACTACAAAGGGCATTCTGAAATTTAACAGCTTGTGTTTACAAGATGGTAAAAGTGAGAACAAACAGATGAAAGAATAAAGAAAAGGTTAAAAAAAGGGAAAAATGAAGAAACTGAAAAAAATTGGGAGCTTTAATAAAGGAATGAGATGGAATTCCCTCAGGAAAATAATTTCCTAAGATGATAAAATGAAAATAGTGATGTCTCCAATGCCACGTGTATCTGATGGAACACCAAGTTTTTATAAACCCTGGATTCTTTTGTAGAAATATTAAGGCAGCTTGTTGACCTGAGACAGAAATACTAACCAAGGCAAAACAAACGCTGATAAATATTTATCTATTGCAATACACCAATGCAGTGTATTTTAACATTAAATATGGATTATAAATTGCTCTAAACCCCTTTATTCTAGATTTAGCATATTTTAAATTTACTCTCACACATTTATATGTACATTTTTGTGTACAATGGCAAATATATGTATATGTGTGTCTGTGCATGCACATTTTTGCAGTCTTCTCAGTAAGCAGGGTTTCCCCATGCTGTGTCAATATGGACTTTAGCATTTGAAATAGCTACGAGCGAAATTTCCTTTGTAAATCAGTAACCAGTGTCAGACTATAACTTGTATGCTTTTCAGTTGTTGTAAAACGGCAGTATAAGAAATACTGAAGTTTTGGGCCGACAGAAGTATTCACTACAGCTTGAGCCAGCCTACCCAAGGCTCTCTTCCAACTGAAGCTACAAAATTTTTGATCCGTGGTTCTAAACAGTAAAGCCCACTTCCCACACTATGTCCCAGTGTTTCTTACACACAGTAATTGCTAGGGAGTAGTTTCAGGACAAGCAGCATCTACCCAATGGCCCAGTGTAACAGCTGGGAGCCTGATGGACCTGCAGCATTTCAAGTTTTTGGCACCTCTACATGCAACAGAGGCAAGATCTCATCTAACTGCCACTCTACCAAATCCTGGATTCCTCTGTTCCTCTCAGTGACTCACTAGATGTAATTTTCCATACGGAAAATGCTACTGCCATCATTCATGCCAGATATTTCAACCTCTGTAGCCAATGATGAAACTTAGCTGTAATTTGGATCAAAGTATTAGGCTACAGCTCCAGATGTAACCAAGAGAAGGCCAGATGAACTCACACACTGGTCCCTTGATCATTTCCACTGCTTAACTGTCAGCTTACTCCACAGCTTTGTTTTGAACTATTCCAAGGGCGCTCTCCAAGACAAAGCGAGACATGGCTCCAGGGACAGTTCGCATTCCAGGGACTGCTCCCCGAAAGGCTTATGGATGAGACAACACCAAGGACAGCTCTCTCCATCCTGTTCTTGCCTCCAACATAAGTACAGCAGGCTTTGCACCTCCATACTATCCTGCATGCCTATCAGCAGATCAGGCATGCAACATACCCTTGCTATTTTATGTTACAAAAGCACAATTCTATGGGATGCAATGCATTTCTGACATTACTTCAGACAGTTTGAAGAAAAAACACCCTCACCCACAGAGGTACATTTTAAAGTCACTTCAGCATCCTGTAGAGCCCCCAGAACACCAAGGGCTAAATCTTACAAAGTGTGGAACAGCCAGTCAGTTTTAAAGAGAGCTGGCCCTAAACTGTGTGGATGAGAGCCAGAGTGAGCCACTTGTCCATAGGGCCAGGAATCATCCCTTGACCCTCTTTAATTTAGCATAGTGTCCACACAGAGGAACATCATACAGTGGGAGGTAATAAAAAACCCCAAACCCCTAAGTACAGAGATTATGAAGTGGAATAAGGAGATGCTAACCTGCCAGTCCCCTGGCAAAAGTAGTCCGTGGCTCCTCCAAGAGTCCTTGAAGTAAACATGGGGAGCCTGAACTTTCTCTTACATGCAACCTTCTTGATGCTCAGTCAAGACACTGAAGATGAAATTGCCTCCTGGTGTTAAAAAACAATCATATGCACAAACATTTGAGTTTGGGGCTTTGCTGTTGTTGATCTTGTTAATTAAATACAAGTGACAATCTCTTTCTGCCAGAACTAGAAGAGAAGCCAGCTGAAGCCATAACTGTTTACACTAAGTAGAATCTGACTGCTCTTTTCCTGACTAGACAAAAACAGCATTTATTTGCTCTGGGTTCCAGCTTCTAGCAGAGCTCTGGCTGCAGTTACCATTCCATGTAGGCACATAGGTCAGGCTGAATGCTCCCACAGAGAACAGCTGGAGCACACAGGACACTCTTGAGCACCAAAACATACAATTGTGGGCATCACGTTTTAAGAGAAACCTTTTTTTAAAAACCCAAAGGAGTCCAAAGGGAACCAGTAACTATGGTAGAAAATGAAAAAAAAAAACCCTCACAGACTACAAGAAACTGATGAAAGAAATGGCGTGATTAGTTAAGGTGGCAAACAGGGAAGGAAAATGTATGAAAGGTTACTATAAGAGATGGTAATTAGTTTTTCTGTATGTTCACCTCATGTAGGACAAGAGGTAATCAGCTTAGTTTGCAGTAAGGGAGATTGAGGTTAGATCTTAAGAGAAACTTTCTCACTATCCTGACAGATAAGCACTGGAAGAGGTTACCAGAGAAGGCTCTGGAATGGTCTGGCCACAGGCTTTAAGAACAGCACTGACTTAACCAGAATGGTTCAGTTCATCTGGATCTGCATCCCAGCAGGCTAGAGGCCTTTTTGAAATCCTTCTTGATCACATACCTCTGTGATCCTTATCTCCACCTCAGAGGAGGAGGAGAGTATCTATGGGATACATTTCTCATCCCTCAGGCTCCAGCAATTCCGGTAGAGACCGGAGGTGTGTCAGAGAGGAAGCAATGCCACAGAGCACCTCTTGCTCCTGTTGTTCTAAGCAGATATCTAGTGTTGGAGCATTATAGAGACTTCTCAACTCCTAGGTCATCTTTCTAGCCTGATAGTTTCTAGCAACCATTCATTCCTGAAAAACAACTGCTTTGCAACAGTACATCAACAGCAACCTAAGGATGAGCCTCTGGCAGTGAGCGTGAGTGGCATAAATACAACTTCACAAGCTCCAGTAATATAGATAATAAAACTAACACTTAGTGGAGACTAAGTAAGCTTGTCAAAATAACCCATGACATAAAGAGCACTGCACTTTCTAATCTCCAGAGGAAGGGGATGTTTTCTTATTCACTATAGAGTTTCTTATATAGCAAGCACTGTCTGCATTGGGGTATACTCGTCAGAAGGCTATGATGTCAATGAAAGAAAATTCAGCTAATTATTCACAGCTTACCTAAGGTAGATTTACTCAGCACAACACAATGAAAGTACCACCTGGCATTTTGCATTCTCAGATTCAAATCCAGAATGACTGCAGAGAGCCTCCCTCAGCACCTAACATTAAAAAAAGAGAAGCAAGGTGCTGTTTGAACCCAGTGTGTGTTCCACTCTGGAGATCTGTGTTCAAACCCAGTTGTAATTCATAAACGAAAATGATCCAAAGGTCACATCCCAAGTCTCTAGACAACTCAATGCTGGCACCAGAGGGTTTGTCTGGACTAGAGGAGGCTGGCAAAGTGCCTGCACCAACAAAGCCCGCAGACGGTGGCTAGGGGGAAGGGGAAGAGAAGAGTGTGTGGTTTGGGGTTTTTTTAGTGTTTGGTTTTGGGGGGGGTTGTTTCTTTCTTTTTTTTTTTTTTTTTTTTTTTTTTTTTTTTTTTTTTTTTTTTAAATGGTGAGGGCTATGTAAGACAAGGAAACCAAATAACCTCTGGGACTCCCACATGAGATCATCAGGAGGATTAGATCTAGCACAGTCAGCTCCTACTTAACTGCCTCCTGTAGCCTTCAGCGTGGGGACAGGGAGAGGGGTACTGAGCTGGACTTACTTTTACAGCTTTTTCTTTTTTTTTTTTAATCTTGAATAAATGAAGATCCTATTAATGCTGCAAACCTAAAGTTACCATGCATGTGAGGAACTCGTTCAGCCTACTTGCATCTATTAAGTTACTTATATACAATCTCATCTGAATGAGAGTTTCAAATTGCAGCTTCTGCTGTGAAACAAAGCAGCTGAACAAATGAACACTGAATAGTGGGGATTTAGATCAAGAAATTGGAAATACTGGGCAGTACAATGCAGGGCAGATCTTTACCAGTGGGTATAGAACTACTGCAGTAGAGAGCGCCAGCTGGTTTTCCTCCCTTCCACCTGCTACACTACAAAAATGTCAAAACATGCATTTATACATAAACAGCGACAGAACAGAATACTATTGATAGAGCTGTTCCAGCCATGTTCTGAGACTGCAGAAGAGAAAGGGGTTACCTGCAAGACTAGCAAGTGGAGAGAAAGTGTAAGATAAAGCACAAAGTCACAAACAGAACTGACATGACGGTATACCAGAGAGATGGAATAGAATTGTGAAAAAAATCAGCCTGGCCAAACTATTCTTAAATACTTACCTTAAATACTGTAAAAAATACTGTGAAGTTGTAGGGATCAGATTCCTATTCTCTCTCTCATACTCAACATATAAATTGGGAAAAACTTCAGGATAATCACTCAACTTTAGAGCAACTTAAGGTCAACAGGAGTCGTGGGGAGAGCAGAGTTGCCCTCTTTCGAGCCACCAACGTTATCTGCAGCACTGTGTCTCAGGACAGGCTTCATATATGGAGCATCAGCTCTAGCTACTTGTTTGGCTTGAGAGCCACTGGAAAAAAACAGTTGCAAATGGACATGCTTGCAACCACATACAGTGATGAGGGAAATGTCACCAGAAACACAATTTTTGGAAGTCCTGCATTTACACGGATACTGAATACTCCATAGAACCTGTATTCCTGTAGACCAGGGTCTCATAGATTTTTCTTCAGTTTTATAACCGTGAGATAACAACATACATGGAGGTCACTGTCTTCATTTTATAGTTTTCTGTCACCAACAGAAAATAAATAATAAATAATCACGAGGCAAAAACCAGAAGACTGACCTGGATAAAACCCACTCTCCTGAATCCCACACTGGTCCCTACCTACTCTCACTTGCAATTTAACATTTAGGCACATTTTAATAAGGAATGAGACAGGCTGTTTAACGTACCCAAAATTACTCTCTGGGTTGCCAGAATGTCTGTGTTCTTGGACAGGACAGCTTCTGAGAAGGGGGGCCAAATGTCCATCAAGTCTGATGGCAATGTGGTTAGCTTGTTGCTGGATATGTCCAGGTAGGTGAGGTTTCTCATAATGCTGGTCACCTTATTGTTGTGTAAATCAAGAGTCCGTAGGTTGGGCATCTCTGCCAGTGATTCCCAAGGGAAAGTCGAGAGCAGATTACCATCCAGCCGTAGCTCATGCAGTTGCTTCAAGTTATAGAAACTGCTGATATCAATGTTGGCTACACAGTTGTAAGTTACCCACAGGTATTTGAGATCTACTAGGTAGTAAAAGGCTTCAGTTGGAATCCTTCGTATGACAGTTTTCTCTATACGAAGTTTTACAGTATCCACAGGAACATTCACAGGGATCTCGTACATGTCAGGATCATTACAGAGCACAGACCTAGGAAAAAAAAACATCGGCATTTCTTCATCAGAAATTTGCCTTTCAGATTTAAATGCAAATGCTATTACTTTCTGCAACACCACTAGCAGAATAAAGAACATCAAATCAAGGACATTGATTTAAAGGACATGCATATAAAAACTGAAAAGACAAATGTGGAGTTTCTAAAGAGAAAAAGAATACGAAATGGCAATGATAACTTTCACACGAAATCTAGATTTGCTTTATTCTAAAGCATGTAAGCACCATCTTCTGTCCATCATTCTACTGACAACTGAAAAATGGAAGCCGTTGTATAAGGAATAATAATACATGCATGTATCTCAAGTGGGAACTGCATGCTGTCTGTTTTACGAAAGTTCAGAATATTGGATTACTAATTTCTAATTTTTCTGCATGATGAAGATTCAAAGAATTTGTCTATATTTATCTTTCAGAATAGCCTGACATTGAAAACAGTAGCATATTTCTCTAAAGGAGAGCTTTCTCGCCCTCCTTCTGGTGTCTACATAGAAATTACCTGCTTTTTAGAGGTTCTAAGAACTTTCTGCTCCTGTTGATTTCAGTGAAATGGGATTTCTCAGCATTTTCAAGAATCAGTATGTTTCCATTTCTTTGGGGTACACTGTTTGCACATATTAGGTTGAAGATTCCCCTCCCCTCAATAAGCCTACCTCTAATTTTCTCCCCCTTTTCTCTATATTCTTCCTCTATTTTATGTTCTCCTCATGCAGCTTTATACTAGATGTTGTCACAATAAGTAGCAATGACAAACAGTATCTTGCAAAATTGACATGGCAATACACAGATCATCAAATTTCAAATTAACCTCTTTATTACCAAAAATTATATGATTTTCCTGCAAATTAAAAAAGAAGATACTGTATTTATGTAAACCAGAAGTCATCAGTAGTCAACGAGTTTGTAGAAATAGAAAGGACATTACAATAGTAAGAAAATCATGGAGCAGAAAGAAATTGCCTTCTGCAAAAACTTATGATTTAGAGTAGCTATTTGCTAAATACAAAATCATAATCACCATCTGCTCCTATTCAGGAACGCTGCCAGCTATATAACACCAGTGTAAAATATGCCTTTATTTCAACTATGCTAGAACTAATTTACAATGTATGAGAATGCTATTTCCAATTTCTTCAACCCTTTTCCTTATAAATTGCCTTGTATAACAAGTAATAAAATATATACCTTGTTCCAGTGCCATCACTTCTGCCATGGTAAATGCAAGTGCATTGTGAAGGACAAAAACCATGCACTTCTTCAAAAAAGCTCATTAGGAGGTAGAAGTAAATAAACAGATGCATGGCTTCCTCCCAGCAGAACTGATATGAAAAAATTTGAAAACTTTATTCCTAGGCACTCATGTGCAGTGCGCTACGAATGTGAATGTAGACACCCATTTAGTAACAGCAGATTACATCAGATTAGCTGAGATCTGTAGTTGCTTAACCTTCAAACGTATCCTGAAAGGGATCAGTTAAACCAGCTCATTCTTTATTCTGTCAGAACACACTCTGTTTCAAATCATATCCAGCATGTTTCAAGGCTATTTTAATATGTAGCTTGTAAGGTCAGTATGTAATAAAACATCTCTTTGCTCCTTCTAAGAGGCAATGCATTAGTTACAGTCCATAAAGTGTTCCAAGGTTCCTGAAGGAAATCTAGTACAGCATAAGATATTGCATGGCATTTTCTTTAATACTAAAAATTACAAATTAATAGGAAGTCCAGATTCCAGAACTTTTAAAAAAATCCTGTAAAAACAGGTTTTTACCAAAAAAACATGTATATTTTAAATAAGTTACACACTGCAAAGCCAAACTTCAGATGCATGCATACATAATAATAGAAAATATTTATTCTCAAAATCTGAGAATCATCAAGAGTGCATATACTACCATTCATAAATAGATCTATACACGGTTATCTTTTCCATCCTGAATAAATCCATTGCTCACATCGCCAAAGGTATTTTTTTGAAAATTACAAAACAGACCTATATAACCATGAGATTGACTTAGAAGTGATGAGAAATGACCATAAATATTTACTCTATTTTATGTGCCTCCCAAGTGTCAAGCTTTAGGGTGCATTTTGTCACATATTCAGGATTTGCTGTGCAGTCACAAGTACTAGAAACATACTACTACTAAAAGAAAAGCTGTCTTTCCTACAAATTCATTTGTTTGTGTGAGCCAAAACTTTAAAAATACATTAAATATCCTGAAGCTCCTTCAAAATCCTAAAAGCTGAAAACATGTTCTATAGGGTTTGGCTAGATATTTTGATAACATATTCACAGAAACGGAACTTTGCAAAGCATATCAACATGGACATTTGGTATAGAAATATATTCACTCAGGGAGAATCCAGAATATTTCAATTCTGGAAAACTTCCAAGGGAAGTTGAGGGAAAGTAACTCATGAAGGGAATTACAGGTGCAAAATCTATGTTACTGAACCTCAGCACTTCCTGCTTCAGTCTCTCCCTGCTCCTGTGTCACCTTATCCAACCCTGTGAGAATCACAGCGACCACTTCACTAGCCTTTTTTGTTTGGGACAGACATATTGGGCCAATAAACCTCACTCTCAAAAACTAAAGTCGTAGCGGTTTTTGTCTTTTTGTCTTCTTAACCTATCTAAAAAGATTACTGTGATTAACAGAAAACAGCTGGCTGGCTGGCGCAGACTACTATTCCAGAAGAGTAATCTTCCAAAAGGTTAATTAACTTTTTCCCAGATTTCACTCCTTTCCATGTAACTTATGCAGGCAAATGTCATGAGTTCTACGATGTCAGTGCACTTTGAGATACACTCATGGGCAAGGCATTGTTTATAGTTATCTCTTGTCTTGTCTGACATCGCACCATCGCCAGGATTGCCCTCCGAAACCTGCAAAGGACAAGAAAGGGAAAGCAGAAAGACGGTTAGCTGGAGAACCAAATACAAAGAAAAACTGGGTAAGCTGGCCTTAAGTATTGCAACAGGTTTCAATTTTAGTAAAACTTACTTAATAAAAAATGGTGTATTTGGAATTCAAAAGGACCTGAGTCTTTTTCACTTCCACATACGGGAATAACTCAGTGAAGTTCAGTACTTCTTTTACAACAGCAGCTTTCGCTTATCCCAGGACAGGGTATAGTCACAACAAAGATGAACTTACAGAATGGGGACAAAACGAGATGTTTTTTCATTGACTCAGCAGGATCAGATAAGTTCACCCAGACAGAGGTCACAGGCTCTGCTTCTAGGTTGGTAGTAGAGAAAGGAAGGATGCCTCTTTGCAAAACCCAGTTCTCAGTCAGAGGCACTGGCTCAGTTAGAGCATTTGATATGCTTGCTCAAAACAGAAGAATAGGCTTAGCTTATTTACTTTAACGAAAAGTGTCAATCCATCCTAATCAGTCAGAATATGACACATCCCAAATCAAGCAAGGAAATCTACAGAAGTTACATGTCACTAAGCCGCCACACAGTTTGGCCACAGTCATTAAAACCAGTCTACTGCTGATACAACCCAAATTCCGTAATGAGTCCCTTTGAGAAACCACAAAGGGACTTTCAAAACTGTCTTACAAAAGCTTCATTAATGTGTTCTCAAAAATCTTTATCAATTCAGTATGCTCTGATGATGATCAAAACAATTTCTTTTAGACTTTCCTGTCCAAAAGGTCATCTTTGGTAAATCAACAGTGGCTTACCCTTTGATCTCTTTGCTAAAAAGTTTGTCATATTTTACAGATGATCTTTCTATAGTTAGATGATAGCTAAAATCATGAAGTAGACTGGTACTAAATTAGGAACACTTACTTTTTGTTTGCAGCAACATAAATGCAGGGATTATAGAATGTGGAAGATTTTGCGAATAGAGGAGCTATGATGGCCATTGCAGGAGAAATTTTCTTTGGGTCTCCAAAGGAAGACCATAAACACACAATAGAATATGGAGACCATGCCACCAAGAACATTAAAATCATCGCAACAGACATCTGTAAAGCAAAAGGAAGAAACACATAACCAGTATTACCTGAAGATGAAGACCTCACAACCTAACCTCAAAAGCACATGCACTTGTGTGCAAATAGAGCTATCTAGAACTAAATAACGACATGTAAACCAGCACACCTGACAAATTTTGACAGGTTATAATCAAATCTCACTTTAGGGATTTAATAGCACATCACACCGCCATGTGTTTTGGCACGCTGTTACTTCATTACATACAATCTTCCTTCACAGTCAGCACTACTGATTATGCTAAATCTGTCCATCAGAAGTTTAAATGGCCAGAGAGGACTTCACACATTAGTTATGACCACCATAACAGGTCACTCTGGCATGCTATTACAAACAACAAACAGAGAGAAAAATCTAAGCCAAACATTTAATAAGGCTGTTAATAAAAATGTTTCATAAGGCTTAACTATGGGACAGTTAAATAAAAGAAAGTAAATGTACTAGGACACAAAGGCTCAGTCCATATACTTAAGGAACCTAGAAGCATCTGCTTGGTTTAATAAAGCACAATAGCCATGTTCAAGCATCATACTGAGGAGATATCTGAGCAGTCATGTCTCCTCTGCCTGCCTGTCAGAGAGAACAATCTGGGCATGTTGAGGCTCACACCCCAGAACACACCACACCACAGCTAGAACTGAACAGTGACAAACTGGGGGTAGTGGGAGGGTAGGAATCAACCAGGACAGACTTTTCTGGCTTTTGTCAGGGACATGAATCAGTAATGGAAACTGTAATGGAAATCTCAAATTAATCAAGAGGACAAAATACATCACTAGAAAACCAAACAAAACTGCAGGGGTCTTTGTATGTACAGGATTCCCTAGTGTTGTTTACCCTTATTCAGTCTTTCAGTGATGAACAAAATGAGAAACAAGAAGTAAATGGCTACTTTGTATGAGCTGTTCTACAGCATAACCAATAAACAAGCAGTGACTCTCTCCAAAGAAGATCCCTATTTAAATACAAACGCAATACCTATTGATAATAATGTAAAGAAAGAACCCTTTCGTTTAGAAATTTGGTGTGTAGAAAGCTTAGAAGATGCTAATTTGTGGAAAAGCAAGCAGTCCAATTCTAAAGGATACTGCTTAACTCCAAAGCTTTCATCTTTTTTTTTTTTAAGATGTAACTCAGTGTCTTCAACAGCAAAACAGGAAAAATGCATTTTCTTCACAAATGTGAGCCTAAATTTATAATCGAATCCTCAGTTTCAAGCATTCTGAAAGTTCTTCAGAAGAGCAAAATGCTGAAATTATTATTTTTAGGTAAAAATACCATTTTTCAAATTCAGCAGTGATAAAGTTTTCCTAGGAATGTTAAGTTTGCATTGATAAGTAATTCAAAAGCATAGGTGCATACTCTTCTGTCCAATTCTCTCTCACTTTTTCATCATGCCCAACCATAAATCATATCTTTACACAAAATCATAGGAGCTGGTGAACTTCCAGCTTTCTCAAGGACTTTTATATGTTAAAAGAATGTCAACCTTCCAGACAGGATATATCATTTTATGCCATTACTCACATTTGCTACTGTTTACACAAGAAAGAGATAAGCTCAACAGACTGAAAAGAACAAGGGATCGGAATCACACAGCTCAAGAACTTGGAAATGCATTTTCATTTCTAGGCCATGAGTTCAAATCAGAGTTGACCAATCCATTTCAGACCAGATACACCTGTGAACCTAGCAGAAAGCCTAAGGACTCTGCAGACACAAAAAGTAAGGTGTCCTTCTAGGACACCTCTGAGGTACATTTCTATGTAATGACAGTGGGAAAAGGCAAGGAAAATTCATGTTGTTCCCAGCCTTCTAAGTAGCTATTCATCTGGCAAGAATATTAGGCCAAAAAGTAAAGAATCTAGTGTTATAGGTCAAGACAAGAATTTTCACCAAGGTTAGATTTCAGTTAATACTTAGTACGAAAGGAAAAGGGGGAATGCAGAAATGCTTAAAAGGCTGCACTGTTCCTTGGCCCCCAACACTTTAACACAAAAGAACATGCTTAAAACAAAAACATGCCTTCATTTACCATACCTTTGTCACATCTACTTGGTCAGACCAATCTACATTGATGCTCTCCAGGCAGTTACTGCTGGCATATTGTTTCATTGTCCGGGAAACATTGTAATAACAGTAAAACATGACTGTTAAGGGTACAACAAAATTAACAGCAATTACACTCATTGTGTAGGAAACAAAGGACCTGATAAGACAGAAAAACAAAACACAGTAACTTACAAATAGCCATTCAGGAAAAGTTACTAAGGAATTTGATATTTT